CATATGCATGTGAAGAGCTGGAACCCAGGTAGCTAGAACCTGGCAATTTATACTCACTTGAAAACAGTAATGCTTAACTTTGACATAGCTCCCTGTCCACTGGTCTCTGACGTACTCTGACCTAAGTCAATGAGTGTCAATGAGTCAATGGTCTGTGTGATACCTATAAATCCCAAAGTTAATCCAGGGACACTTAGTGCTTCCAGAATTATATCAGCAGGTCCCACTAGGCATTTATGCTTTCATGGCAGTGCCCCTGCTGCCCAGTGCTGGTTCTGCAGTCTTGTGCCTGTATGAATTGGTTTAGAGGCAGTGACTGGTCCCAGCATTTTGGGATTTCAGAGTTCTTTAAGGAGGAACAGATCTCCTTTGTAAGCCCATGGTTGTTGTTGTAGTGGTGGTGGTGGTGATTGTGTGTGTGTGTGTGTGTGTGTGTGTATGTTAGTGGGTACTGGGGATTGAACTCTAAATCCCATCCCTAAGGCTTGTTATTTTTTTTATTTTGAGATAGGGTCTGACTATTTTGCTGAGGATGGCCTTGAGCTTGCAATCCTTCTGCCTCATCCTCTGGAATAGCTAGCATTAAAGGCCTGTACCAATGTACTTGGCAATCAATGTTGTGTGTGTATGTGTGTATTTTTTTAAATTTAAAATTAGGACTTGTGGCAAAATTATCTTTGTAGATGAAGATGTTCTCATTTTGAACCCATACTCAGATTTTAAAATTACTAGTTTTCTTCTGCCTCTCTAGATGTGTGTATAATAGAGTCAGATCATTGATATTTTTTGCCAAAAGTAATGAATTCATCAGCTATCCTCCATGAGGATGTGATGTGAATACAGATTCTTTCTTTTTTCTTTTTTGTTACTGGGAATTTAACTTGGGGGTATGTTACCACTGAACTACATCCCCAGTCCTTTTCATTTTTATTTGGAGACATGTCTTGCTAAGTTACTGAGAGTCTCACTAAATTGCAGAGGCTGACCTTGAACTTGGATCCTTCTGCCTCATCCTACTGAATTGCTGGGATTACAGGGGGCATACTCCACCACCCCCTGCTAGGGTGTTCTTCTTTGTCTGGAGAGTTCTTCTTGACAGCAGCTTCCTCAGGTGGAAGTTTATACCCTGCAAATCAATGTCACACAAAGCCTGAAACAGAACATTGTGTTTGCTTTGTTCCTTTTCTCTTTTATCCATCATTTTTTCTTAATGATCTATCTGATTGCGCTTGCAACTCCTGAGAAAATCTGATAAGATTATAATAATGAAACTGTGGATTGTGATGCCAACCTTTGGAGGAAGGCATGACTCACTTCCCTACAGAAAAGGACTTGATATTTCAAGGAAAAAAAGATGCTGACTAGTTTGGACAAGGAACAGGAAACCAAATCCCTCTTGCAAGCAAATGGTGCTCCATTCCTCATAGAACTTTTCAGCCAGAGCCAAGGGAAGTGGGGTGAAAGGATGAGAACCAATCTGTGTTGCCTCCAGACTGTATGGAATAAATTCTTGGTTTTCCATTTTATTCAGTGTTGATATGACTCAGTATTTTCAAGGGCATCCAATACTTAATGATGTTTTCCTCATCCATTATTCTTGGATTATTTTCTATTCTGTGCACAAAGTTCAGCAGTGGGGAAAGAATAAAGATAAGAGTTAAATCACAAGTATCCCTGGCTGCCCACAAGTGGAAGGTTGATTTGAAGCACTGCAGAGTAGCAGACTTAAGGAGAGGGTATGCTGGACCCTGAACTCCACCTCCTTAGGAGTATGGTGAGGAAAGAGTTGTTTGTTGACTCTGTAGAGCATATTTGAGATAAAATCACACCTTTGTGTCAAAATTCAGTTAAGTTACAGAGATAGAGATTTTTACATGCTTATTGCCTGGAGATAGTTGAAGGCAGAAATTGTTCTGGGGTTGGATGCACTTCTGGCTTCTGCTGTTCAAGGTTATCTCCTTGTGGCCTGAGGTCATCCTTATAAAAAATATTTGTCAGAAGTGCAGGAAATCACATGTGTTGGATACCTCTAATATAATAAAAATTTTCAAGGTGCTTTGTCTAAATTTCTTCATTTAATGCTTGTAACAACTTTGAAGTAAAAGGAATTTGCCTCATTTTGAAGATGATGGTGTTATCTACTATAAAATCTAGGGACTTTCCTTACCTTAGGAATTGATACTATTGGAGTATCAGGATACTTATGAGAGCAACAGATTGTAAAATTCAAACTCAAAATCAAAATTTATAAGTGCTCCTGTAAAAAGCTTTTAAAGGAGTAGTCTGCAAGGAAATTATGAAAAGCTCAGGGCATTTAAAGGACAGAGATAAATTCACAGCAGTGTTGAGTGATCAGTCAGGCACACATAGTTGTGGTGAGAACTGAGGACAAGGGAAACTGGAAGTTCCATGTCTAGACAGGGTGGAGAAGAGAAGCAATTAGATAGAGGGTTGTGAAATGCATTGTCCTGAGCAGGGTGTTTCTGGGATGCCGAATAGTGTAGGGGTGTGGTTCTCCATTGGGTATCATAGCTTTAATCAACCTCCCAAATATAAACTTGTATGCATGTGCATGTCCTATGAATTAAGAGTGTGTGTGTGTGTGTGTGTGTGTGTATGTGTGTGTATTTGTGTGTATACAGTCACTGTTAGCAGACATAGATAAAGAAATCAAGGAATATGAGAGAGCCCAGTGTCTATGCTTTTGGCTAAATGCTGGATGGCTGCTAATGAGAAAAGCTGAGGTTTGCACTGTCCCTGAATTTGGGGGTATTTAAGTGAATTAGCCATTCAGTGAAATATCTTCACTGTGCCAGTGCTTTGATGAGCACCCCACTTCTCTGGTTTGCTTCATGCACTTCATTTGGTCATCTAGTACTGCATCATCAGGTTCTGTCTCCTTGAATCCTCCTGGTTGCTATGGAGGTAAGACGTAAGGCAGAGAAAAACATTGAGTGGAGCTCACTTTGCATTTTCTTGTTGGCTTAGTGATAAGTGTGATGGCTGCAAAACTCAGGGACTAGGGGAAATTATATTTATTTTCCCATGGAAGCCGAAATAGGCATTGACAAGTTTTCTAGGTATCAAGCTAATTTCTACACCATCCCTTACCTGTTTCCTTTAGGAACTCTGTGTGTAATGACTAAGCAACTGGCTGTCTTTGACACTCAGCATCTCATAAAGAAGCATGAACGGACTAAAAAAGCAACCTTCCTGGAGTGTCTTGTCCTTTGGCTTTCATATTTAAGCTCAAGAAATTCTGAGTCTCAAACGTTTTCTCAGGAAACCAAATGATAGTAGAATTTGTGTTTGAGCATAATTGAATTTGTGTCTGAGTACAAGTATTACAGGGCTGTTGCTTACTAGGATAGCTATCCTTTGTATATTCATTTGAAATATGAACATCTAGTTGTTCACATGAAATCTTACCCACAAGTTTATTATATAAAATGTGGAGCCAGAGTTATTCAAAGGCTAAGACACCATACATTCATTCTTACACATAGGAATTCAAGAGCCCTCCAGGCTGCACCCTTGGAAGCTCAGGGTATAGGAATGGGTTAAAATGGGAGATAATCACTGTCTTCATGGAGCCTACTTTTTTGGGGGAGGGATACTGGGGATTGAACTCAGGATTGAACCCTAAACCACTGAGCCACATTGCCAGCCCTATTTTATATTTTATTTAGAGACAGGGTCTACTGAGTTGCTTAACACCTCACTTTTGATGAAGCTGGCTTTGAACTCAATATCCTCCTGCCTCAACCTCCCGAGCCGCTGCTGGGATTATAGGCATGCACCACTGCACCTGGCTGAGCTCACATTTTAATGGGTAGAAAGTTCTGAATAAGCCATTTTAGAATAATCATAGTAGTTAACACATATTGGGTGCTTACTTTGTGCCAAGGATTCCCTCAAGCTCTTTTGCATGTAGTAACCCATTTAGTTTACAATAAAACTTTGCAATATAGAGACTATTTTCCCCAATTTTAAGGGACATAAACTGAGACAGGGAGGAAAAAAAAAACTTGCCCAAGGTCATATAACTTATAAGTGACACACCAGAAATCAAACATGGACAGTTTGACTGCTCCACAATCTGTGGCTTACCACCTTTTTGTGTTGATTCATTATGGACTATGTCCAGGGTTACAAGTGCTAAGACATCAGTAAATGTGTATAAGTAGAAGTACCAGGGCTGAGCATGGCCCTAGACTGCTAGTTCTCTAGCTGATCTTTCTGTATAGACACATGTTTTGGTTTTTTTTTTTTTTTTTTTTTTTTTTTTGTTGTTGTTTTGTTTTTTTTTGTGTGTGTGTTGTTGTTTTTGTTTTTTATCAGGCAGACCCTAGGAAGAAAAAGGATTAAAAAAATGTTTTGGGTCCTTTAGCCTGTTCCTTTGGTATGAGGATTGCTCCTTGAGAACATTGAGTTAGTATGTTGGGTTGCAGTTTTTTCATTTCATTGTTATGTTATTCAGTCCTCTTTCTGATGGTCAGAAAGAGTCTTTAAAACATAACCCTTACCCTGTACCATCACTTTTCATAACTTCTGATAGAAGAAACCACCAGAAGGTGAAAAACTTCTTAGTGTTCTTCTCCAGTAAGATGTACATTTTGATCTGCTCCTTCCCCTCTTTGGTGTCCACGACTCCATCTGATGATAGGTTAAAGTTTTATGGAAGCTAGCTCATACCTATGGGTTGAATGGGAATATTGAAATGATTCTAGCCACAAAAGGTTCTCAAAGCTTTAAAAAGTTTGCCATTTTCTTTATGGGTAAGAATATAAACCTTATAGCATAAGTCTTTGAGGTAATGTTCTCTATAATTTTCCAAGGAAAGTGAAAATAGAGGTTTTGCTCTAGTCATTCAAGCCTTTCAGTGGATATAGATGCTATTAGACTTTTGAGTGAATGGTTTGTTGCTTTGTTTTCAGGTTTGGGCATTTGTCCAGAAGGGTCAACTCATTGCTAAGATTGTGTTTGTCTCTCCCCAACAGGGCTGCTTAACAACACCCAACTCCCCATCAGTGCATTCACGTTCCCTCACGCTGGGTCCATCCCTCTCCCTGAGCAACATCTCTGGGGTGTCTGTGAAGTCGGAGATGAAGAAGCGCAGAGCCCCTCCTCCTCCAAGGGCAGGGCCACTGGTTCAAGACAAGACATCTGAAAAGGTAGGGCAGTGAGTGTGGTTGACTGTCATGATCAGAGCCTCTTCAGTGACCCAGTTGACTCTCAGCATCTCCTTGGAAACACTTCATATTTGTGGCTTTAGCAAGCAGAGTGTTCAGGGCGAACATTTGAGCTTTATTTAGACATAAAGGTGAGATACCACTCTCCTTCAGTTATTGAAGGCAGGAAACTATTTTGGAGCCTTGAGTAATTAAAGATCTATGCCTGTTGATGAACATATATTTTATTTTCACAGTGAAATTTTGAGGGCATCAGTGTGACTGCTCAATGAGAAATGTGCACAGATAAAAAGGTGCCTTTAGGAATCTGAAGCTTGTAAAAGAGATAATATATAATAGTGATGCCCCAAATAATTTAGGTTCACAGAAAGCTGAGAATATTTTTGCCTATCAAGTTGCTGTCTGTATCATATGAAATTAATTTTGTGAGGCCTGGTATTTAAGAAGCTTTCTTTTTGATGTTTATTTCTAGAGCAATTTAATGCCTAGGTACTGATGGGGAAAGCCTTGTCTTCAGCAGCTGAGTTCCTTCCCTGAGGTCTTCACTCAGCTATCTTTCCTTCAGCTTCCTGCTGATGCTAGGATATATTATTTGAACTATAAACCCTCCCTTTCCAAGGGTAGGGCATTATTTGACAGTGCAGTCAAACCGTGGTTTCACTTTCCACAGTTTCAGTTACCTGTGGTCAACCACATCCATAAATATTAAATGGAAAATTCCAGAAGCAATTTATAAATTTTATGTTGCATGCTCTTTGGAGTAGCATAGCAGAGCTCTTGCAGTTACATTCTGTCCTGACTCAGACATGATTCATCCCTTTGTCCAGGATATTCCTGTATTCATACTGTATATGCTACCTGCCCATTAGTAACAGTAGCTGTGTCAGGATTGACTGTCACTGTTGTATTCAAGTAACTCTTTTATTACTTAATAATGACCCCAAACTACAAAGACAGCAATGCTGGCAGTTAGTATATGCTAAAGAGAAGCTGAAAAGTCCTTCCTTTAATTGAAAAGGTGAAATTTTATCATAGGAAAACACATAATGTATATTGAGGTTGATACTGTCTGGGGTTCCAGGCATCTACTAGGGGGTCTAGCCCTTCCTTCACACATAAGGGAGGACAATAGCAACTTCTCTTTTCTTAGCTTAGAATGTGACACCATAACAAATGTGGCACCATAACAAAACATAAAGTTTTTATTTTTCTCAACCTGTCCTCATTTGGGCGAAGTGTGGCAGAGACCACATCCAGGGACAGGAAGGCTGGACTTATGCTTTAAACTCTTGATAAGCAGAATTTCCCAAGGCCGTCAAGATGTGAGGTAAAGATGCCTTGTTCTTCTTTAGAACAGCATGTTTCTGATGACCTGAATTCCCACTTTGTGGGCAGACAGAATGCCTTGCATTGCACACCATCACATGAGGCACACTGAAGGTCTGCTCATTCTCTTTATGGACTTTATTTTCTGACTCCTGCCTGTTGCATCATAATACACAAGAGCATCACAGCATGGCTAATCTTTAGGTTTGGATACTGTTTTGCTTATGAAGTGGTGTTTCCTTAAAATGTACTAGAAACTAAGTTTGTCTAAATTTGGTTAGGACTTGCAGTAGTAGATCTCAGTGGCAGAGTTTTGACATCTTGCTTGATACCCTTATCAGTCTGGATGTGTATCCATCTATCTCCATCTTGCTTTGAAAGTGTATCTTCTGGTCATATTTTTTTATTCTTCCAGGAGTGTCCCTAACCTCATGTCTTAAAGACCCCCTATTCCCATATGCAGACCCTTTATTCGTGTCCTTAGAAACCCATCTCAAAAGCCTGTAATGAAATACATTTTACGAGAAAATATTTTTATTTTCATATCTCAGACATTTTCTAATGCCAATCATTTATTTTTAGTTCTCCATGATATTGTAGCTATGTTTTGATAAAAGGAAATTTATTTAGAAATGGTACATCATTCTATTGTTCACTTGCATTATTAAATGATGGAAACAGAATATGAAGCTATTTCCTGTGATTGTCCACAGCGCATCTCTTTAATTTGCTCGGTTTAGATTCTGAACTTTTTCATAACAAACAGACCATATCAACAACATGTTTTCAATTACATACTCTTGGGGATGTCCTTTTGCTTTTGGTTGGGACAGATACTTCTTTAGTAGTGAAAATTATGAATTCTAGGATCAATATTATGTAAGGATTCTTTTTCAATAAAAATTACACTTTCTTAATGAGATAGAAGGTAGATATTGAGCCCCATTAGCATTTTTAAAATTTCTTCCATCTAAAGAAGATGTTGTATATTTCTGTCATTACTGCACTTACTCAGAGTAGGTAAAGCCTGCTTGAGTGGGAAAATGTACAGTAAGTAGAGAGTGGGGAATTCTGAATGAAAAATAAATAGTATTTTATGCTCTGTAGGATGAACAGAGTTCCCTCTGAGGCAGTAAAAGCTTTTTACTGAAATCTGTTTCATTTGGCACAGAATGAGTGGAGAAATTGGCTCATGGAAACCATCTCTTTTTTTAAGCATATGAATGGCATATGGATTAGATTTAAGTATTTGCTATGAACATGCGTGTTTTTTTATTGAAAGGTATTTTGTTATTTACTAATTTCTGGGAAAGGAACCCAAAAATGTATTGTTGTTGTTGTTGGGGAAAAACGTCAATTCCTTCTTCATGAACTTCCTTCCATATAAAGATAAGATGTTTGTTTGGAAAACCTTATTTTTATGCAACTGTTACTAACTCCAATATCCTGAATAAGGAGAAAAGGTTTATTTTCCAGTGCATTACTAGTTTAGAAGAAAATGAGGATGCTTGGGTTTTCTTATCAAGTCAATAGAAAAATTCAGTACTAATTTATTTAGGCCTTAAAGGTGGAATAATTTTAGGTATCTTCTGGTTCATCAGAAACTTAAAAAAAAAAAATGTAATTGACTGGGGATGTAGCTCAGTTGGTAAAGTGCTTGCCTCGCATGCACAAGGCCCTGGGTTCAGTCCCCAGCACCACCTAAATAAATAAATAAATACATACATACATACATACATACATACATACATACATACAAATTTTAAAAGTATAATTGTTATATCAGTATTGGCTACCTTATGACATACTCATAATTTGATCATTAGTATTTGTTATTCCTAAAAGTATATTCTGAAGAGATTTCCCCAGAGGTGTAAGAATCTGAGAGATCAGTGTTGGTACCCATGTGTAAGCCTGTTTGAGGAGCAATTAAGAAGATGGTGGGTAGGTGGTTGGGTAGAGGGCCACATTTTCTTTCAGGCTAGCATTAAGCTTCTCTTTTTGGCATTCCATTGCTCTGCCCTCTGCCTCTCAGCTAGAAATGACACATTGTTTACTTTACAGGCCATATGCTGGGTTAGTATTTCTCTAACTTGAACAGGTGGACACCAGGACCATGAAACACATTTCCAGGCCCCCCCAGTGTACTGATTCAATTGGTCTGGGAAGGATGGGAGAATTTTCATTTTAGCAAGTCCGCAAGTGACTCACCTCAGCTGCCACTCTGGCCAACCCCATTTTGAGAACCACCACTCTGCAGAATGCTATGTCCATTAGCTGCCTACCCAGAAGTTTTACTAATCAAATGTATAGCTATGAAGAGATTCTGCAGCAGGAAAGTTGTCTGGATAAATCTATGCTGCAGAATAATAATTTTATAGAGTTGGCTTCATACATCACAAGTTCCACATCTGCAGATTCAACCAATCTCAATAAAAAATAATTGGGAAAAAAATGCATCTGTCCTGAACACGTACAGATTTTTTTGTCATTATTTCTAAAAGATACAACTGTTTACATAGCACTCACGATATATTAGGCATTATGAGGAATATAGAGATAACTGAAAGTATTCTGAAAATGTGAGTAGATTATATGTGCATAACACCACTGCCACTTTGTACAAAGGGCTTGAACATTTGCAGATTTTGGTATCCTGGATAGCCTAGAACCAGTTCCCTGAGGAAACCCAGGGATGAGTATCCAGTTTACCATAGAGGAACTGAGGCCTAAAGTTATATGTTTAAATATGTAAGTAGCTCTCACTTCTCTCTGGGACTGAAGGAATATTCCTCTGCGGGGGACAAAGGCATTGTCTGTTCTGGGCAGGATTTTCCTTCATCTCATTTCTGAGGACCCACATTATCCTCCCTTGACCTTGCCCTGTGCTATAGTTGATTCCCACCCAGAACATGGCCCTGCACAACTGCTGGGATTTCTGCATGCTACACTTGCACTCTGGTCACTGCCCCTTATGCACATGCCTGGTGGGCATTCTATACTCATTCTCCAACACTGAGTCTCCTCCTCTGTACATAAGAGCAATAAGCAGCATCGACAGGTGCCTGCTGTGGTAGTAAGATGTGGCCCTGGTTCTACTTCACTGAGTACAGATCCTAACTCTGCTGTCACCGGAAATATGACCTAAGGTAAGATCACCCATGTACCTCATGTCATGAGGATTGTAGTCAGTACAAAGGAGAAGGTGAGTGCTGGCCATGTACACTGAGGGACAGGAGCAGCCTTGTTCCTGAGCAGGAAGGGCTGAGTGAAGGGGTGAGGGCTCTATGGCCCAGGGCAGGATCCTGAGTCAACTAAATGGCAAAGTATATTTTAAAAATATTTAAAAAGGGACCAAATGTACAATTAAAAAATTATCAAGCCCCTGGAACAGACTCACTGTGTTATTGTTATTTAATACCAGCATCTTTCCTTCCTTAGTGGTATCTTCCTTTCTTAGCTGCAAACTGTGAACACTCCACTCAGTATTGCATACTTTCAGAGAATCAAGAGATGCAAGTTGCCCATCATATAAGTCTAAGTATCCTCTTTTTAAGGAGGATAGAATACTATCAAGTGATCCTTCCTGAAATGACTCCATTTATATAGTAAAGATTGAAATTAAACTGTAATTATCATCCTGGACTACATCTACA